GGGGGGGGGGGGGGGGGGGGGGGGGGGGGGGGGGGGGGGGGGGGGGGGGGGGGGGGGGGGGGGGGGGGGGGGGGGGGGGGGGCAGGGAGAGATTTCAATTAGCTTGAAAATTAAAGAGGGAATTTCTTGTGCCAGGAATTTAAGAGCAGCCACTCAATAATACCCTTTTAATTTGCAAAAGCATTTTTAGCAAACAAAAAGCCTACCACAAGCACACTGTGGCTTCCCCCCCTCCTCTCCCAGTTGCGAAGGTCTGAGCGAGCCCCAGCAGTCACGCTCTCTGTTCCTCCACCTCTCTCGCAGCGATGGCTCGTCTCGCTGCCCCAGCGCCTCCTGGTTCCCTCCCAACCCTCAGGGAGCACCCTTCTTCTCCTGCGAGGTGCAGCTCAGCTTTTCAATCCCCTCTTTTCGTGCGGAACACAGAACCTGGCTTTAAGGCATACGCCCGGCCCAAAGCGCAGCGCCACGAGGTAAAGGGGCTGGACGCGGCGCACCCGAGGGAACCCGGAAACCTCTCTGCTTAGAAGGTGACAAGTTTCCTCATCACGAGGCTGGCTGCTCTTTCCAGAGAACAAATGCTTCCTCAAAAACACACCTCGCGCACCCCGCCCCGTCCCCAGAAAAAGCGAGATCAGAGCACACACTCACCCGGGACGCCTCTTGCTGCCTCTCTGAACGATGGCTCCTCCAGCCTGTGCCCCCGGCCCAGGGTTCCCCGAGCTGACGGCTGCACCCAGCGAGGAAACATCTGATGCCATTTCTAAACAGGAGAGTGGAAAAACAAAAAAAAACAACAAAACAAACCCACAAAATAAAGCAGCATTACGTCAAAGCCCCCCCCTCTAGTTCAGAGGGTGGGGTATTCTCCGCACATAGCTCCCATTGAAAGCGAGTGCGTTTCAGCATCTGGGGATGGATTCTGTGCAATGTGTGCTTCTGGGCCTTTCATCTGCCTCGCCAGAGCCTGCGCTGAGGGTCCCTTTTCCAGCTTGGAGCACATGTGGTTTTCATAAGCTCCAAAGCTTAGATCACTGAACTAAAAGATGTGGTCTCCTTTTTCGACAGAGGAGGAGCCCGGTGGGTGGGGGCTGAACCCCTTCTCACATGCCAGCTGCGAAGGGGAGGGGAGAGTCGTGAGTTCACCCAATAACATTAACGCTGCCTCTTGGAGGGGGTTTATTTCCCAACCTAAGAGACAAAGAATTGACCAAGAGGCTCATAAAGCACCTTGAAAACCAGGATCTTTCAGCCACTCGTTCCCATCCCTCAGCGGTACCGACCTGTGGGCACCACAGGCACGACCGCCAGTCTCTGCCTTCGTTCCCCCACAACTGGCCACGCAGCCAGAGAGAAAAAAACCGCCGCGTTGGGGAAAAAACTGATCCCGCGTCATCCAACGCGATGGCTCAGAGCTGAACCCCTCGTGTTTTACACGTTAAAAAAGTCGCACAAGCGGTAGGAAATCTACTCAATGCTTTCCATGAGGTGAAGCAGGCAGGCGACGCTCTGAAGAACTGGTGGGACCAGGCCGCACACAGCGCTGCTTCGGCGAGAGGTTCCACGTAGATAACGACACGTGAGAAAATAAAAAGCCCGCTCCGAGACGCGAAGATAAGCCCTTGGTGGTGTGCGGGAAAGAAAGAAGAATCCAAGCGGAGAACTCGAAGGCGCTGCCCTCGCGAGCCGGCTGGCAGGCCCGAGCCTGTTACCCCTTACGGGGCTTTTTCCACGAGGAAAGCGAAGAGCCTCGGCTCTCCCCGCAGCCACACACGCGCAGAACCACTCGCAGAACTCCCCCCCCGGACCCCTTCAGGCACTGAGACACCCCCTTCTCCTCCCTGGCAGCTCCCACCGACATGAGCTGGGATTTCTCGGCGGTCGCTTGCAGATGCCCGGTGCCGGCTGCTCCGAGCAGACCCGACAGGCTCTGCCCTTCAGCGCTCGCCCAGCACGGCTTAAACCGAGCCCACGGCCTAACACCGCCACGAGAGGCGCCTCCGACCTTCCCCTGCGTTAGCACAGACGGATCTGCACCAGAACCGGGGTTTCTGAACAAGTTCTAAGGGATTTTGTCATGTTTGTGAAATAAGTCGGCTCCGTACTCATTTTACGGGTTGCAGTTTTTTAAGTTTGCTGACAACAACTGCCCGACTGCGACCAACAGTCACGCCCGACAGAATTTCCACTGCAGCCTTTGCAAACTGAGCTGCGCGGAGTTGCCTTGGAGGTAGACAAACCGCTTCTGTGTTATCAAAGTGGAGGGGACCAAAAAAAAAAACCCAACCAAAAACCCCAACACACGCAAAATAGCCTATTGCTGGTGTTCCCAAGCCACAGCGAAGGGCTACACCGACACCGAGAGCTGCGTGTGCATGAAACGCTGCCAGAATCGGTGGGACAAAGCAACGAATTGAAGTCAGGTTTAACAAACACGGCAACAAATCGAGGCTTGAGCTGCGAGGCTGTCACATCTCAGCTTAGCCAAGACCACGAGGACATCGCTCGACCAGTAAAGCCGAGCTACGCCACAGCAAGCTTCTGTGCAACAGTCCTGGCTTTCACTTCTCACCTCATCCAAGATAAAACGCAGCCTCGTGTATTCCCAACGCCAGGAAAGGAAATTTTTCACCCTAATTTTCAACATCAGAGACACATCTGGGTTTAACAAATCTTTTTACACTTCCTGAAGTCAGATTTCGAGCCAGGAGCAGTTTAATCTAAGCAGTACTTCCAGAGCTGGACAGTGCTCCGCTTGCAGCTAAAAGCGGAGCCCAACCACCTCTGCGGTGAGGCTGGAGCACGGGGGCAGCTCCAGCTCTCAGAAAACACGCTCCAAAACTTCTGGTATTTCTTAAAAAAATAAAATAAAATTTAAAATCACAACTTCTACCACAGTAATTTTGCTAGCCTTTACTGATGGATTTGTTTTCCTCCGAGCAGCTGGCACTGCTGAAAAAGTTTCTTCCTTGCCAGCCCATAGTATTTCCCAGGGGTGACTAAAATACGGACTAAGCATCCAGCTCAATGCTTGGCAGCTGAAGGGGCCAACAACAACAGTCCCAAACAACAGCGGGAGCGAGCACACCCCATTTCAACACTAACTACAGCAACAAAACACCAGCACTTCTCTGAAGTTTTTTTAAAAAAAACAAAAACAAAAACAAAACACAAAAACCAAACCCCAATAACCAACTGAGAACAAAGAATCGGGAATGGAAACAAAAATTTTTTTAAAAGACGGCAGCTTATTTGAGGTTAGTGGTTTTCGACACGTGAATACGCGAAGGTCTGCGCTGGGAAATCGGTGCCTGTGTGATAGAGTCAAGCCAGCTGATGTGATGTACTTAAAATAAACGGAGCTTGGCCTTCCTCGCGCTCCATCCTCCACGCCGGGACCACGGGCCTCCCCGCTCCCCTCGATCGCGGCGACACCCCGGCCCCCTCCCTCCTTCCCAAGTGAAGTCCCAAGGCGCAGCAAGGGCCGACACCGAAGGGCTTTGCTCAGCACAACACGGCCCTAAGCAGAAGCAAACCAGGTCAGAGGGTTTCTTCCTATCCCCGAGGAGCCTCTGCCTGCTCAACAGACGTATTTCAACGCCGCGGTGTGAACAGAAATAAAGTTTCTGGAGCGCAACAGAGAATCATTTTAAGGAGAGCGGAATTTCCGCTTTCAGGCGGGGGAAGGAAGCGACACTGTGCTGTTCCTCCGCAAATCGACTTGTAAAGTCTCTGTTTGTTTTTAAAGGCCTTTGCTCTTTCCAAGGAGCCGGCCGCGTGGACCAGGACCTCACCGCTTTACCCTGTGCTCCGGCTCCCTACTTGGAAACGTTTCCCTCTCATGGCACAACACGTGGAAGAAAATAAAAGTGTCTCGAGATTGGGTAAATTGGTAATATTTTGTTCCGCGTACCGGGGGAGAGCGTCAAAACGGTTACGTGCTCTTTCACAGGATCCCCCTGGCCTCTGCCACATCCTCACCCCAAAAATAGGGAGAGCACTGGGGGAGGTGAATGGGGCGGGAAGTTTTTTCCCCCCCTTTCAGAATTCCTGGGATGCTCACACAGATGCAAAGCTTTCCTTTCAAAACCCCCATTTTTTCCCCCCCATTCAAACCCAGAGGTCAGCATGGAACTGGGGGAACCCAACGGGGGGGTGGCGAGAGCGTCTCCGGCACACACATACTCGGTAAATCCCCTGGCCCAGACCCCCCCCTTGGAAAAGCTGCCACTCCACAGCAAGCCCTCCACAGCTGCCCCTGGAAGCCACCGGCTCCAAGCCCAACAGGCGAGATGGGAGTAGCCAGAGGCAACCCGAGCCGAGTCAACCGGTTCTAAGAAATCCTGGGACGCGATCGCCGACCAAACGCCCATTTCACAACTTGGAAGTCCCCAGAAACGGGGACCAGCAAAGCGGCGACTAGTGGTTCCCAGGTATCAGATGCTTAGGTCTGACTCGACACATCCAGAGCTGCGAGAACGACATTTTTCAACTACCCCAAAGTGACGAAAGAGGCACCGAACATATTCCTTTGAACCCATCGATGGTTAAGAGCAACAGGACAAACGTTCGCTTTCGTTTTGAAAGCGGCTGCTTCAAAAACCAAACGTGCCCCCAAAAGTCCCAGTCGACCTTTCTGAGAGGGCAGGGTGGGTCTCGGAGAGACACTGCTGCCACAAGCAACATCCGTGTCAGGTCTGTTCCAGCCCTTTCCAGCATCAGTCCCTGCTGACCTTTAACATGTGTTGAACCTAATTAAGGCCGGAAGAGATAAGCAGAGGCAGCAGCAGAGAAATTACGGATCCTCATTTGTAACCGAACGTAAATCTGCCAGCACAACCACAGCTCAGGCGGCAGTTTGGCCCCGGACACAACAGGCTGGAAGATGGGACTGTCATCGAGAGCCAGGCTTCCAGCCCAGCTCTCCTGGGAAGGGCTCTGTTGCAAGTGCTGGCATCTCAACAGTGAAAAAAGCTTTTCAGAAATAAAGTGACAGAAAATATTCCAGACTGTGATTTACGAGACGGGCCTGCCGCAGCTCTTAAATGCATTTTTATTGTACCCCTCGGCCTGCTCCAGCCAGGCACGGCGGTTGCTGCTGGGGAGCGTTTCAGCACACGGTGGTTGTTTCACCAGGCAGCACGTTTTAGAGCAGCAAGATTCAGTTTAAACTTAAACCATTAGCGAGCTCCCCCCCCCCCCAAGGCAGTTTAGAGCAGGTCTGTGAGCAGATAACAGCTGCTAAGATAAGGCAGCGCAGTACTTTAACCAATATTTGCATTTCTCTCCCAACTGTAAGGCTTCGTATTTACAAGGTGTCTCGATCGCTGTGTCACAGGTACGTTAAAGAGATTTATTTTTTAAGTAGATGGGGTTTTTTTTTTTTTAGGTTGTTTGAACTTCCCCTGCAAGGCCAGCTCAGCGCTTTCATTCCCTTGGGAACCTTCTCCAAGAAGCATTACAGAAATTAAGTAAAAAAACCAAAACAAAACACCCATAGAAAAGAACGTATCTTCCATTTTCAAGCCTTTGAAACCATGTATTCATAAAAGAAAATGTGTGAAGCGAGGCTGATCAATTATATTCATCAAGCCAGAAGGAAAAGTGTCCTAATAATCCAAGTTAATACTAAAACTAAGTATGGCGAGCCACTTTTTTTTTTAACCTCTCCTCCTATTTCCTCCCAGTTAGGGGATGCTGTTCGCTTTTCACTCCTAACCAGGAGATTTGAACACATAAAACTTACTTGAATTGGCAAAACTGAAAGCTTTCGATCTAGCATTCTTCACAATTCAAGTCTTTTTTTCAGTTAAATATGACCAGGGAACTGCGCTGTGGCTCACCTCACCCTCAGAATGAGGAGGGAGCAGAAGGGTTTTGCAGATTTATTTTTCCAGTGTTTTCGCAGATTTATTTTTCCAGTGTTTTCGCAGATTTATTTTTCAAGCAGTTTATCTGAAAACAGAAAAGTGCTTTATCCACCTCTCACAGGTTTCTGAGGTGACCTGCTTTGCCCGTGGAGCATTTTGAGGAAGGACAGCAGGCCCAGGATGGCACAACCCTGAACACAAGCCGTGGTTTGAACACTTTAAAAAGTGCCAACTTACTTTTCCAGTAAGCTTGAACACACAAATAAGCTCCAACTTATTTTCGTGGTCAGTTTGCCCATCTTCGGCCTCGGCCTGCCGAAGCTGGGAGGACGTTCCGCATACCTGGGGGCATTCTCCAGTATTCAGTGGAGGCCTGCAGTCCAACATCAAAGGAAAGGGGATCCAGCTTCTAAAGAAGAGTTTTCACAAGTCATTTGTTTTACTAATAATCTCTATGTATATAATGCTTGTGCAGACTGTAAGTATTTTCCCCCCCTTCTGTTTAAAAGGGCCAAGCTAATGCTGGTCAGCCCGTCTGCTCATAGTTATAAATATTAAACACAGATGTTGAAAGTTCTTTCTCTTTTCCTTGTGAATTTGTTTAAAACTTTCCTATTATGCACAACATCATGCAACTCCGATGAACGCTTTGCAATACACTAACAGTACGAATATCTTCCTTTCTTGTTCACTGGATTCTTACAGAGCTGGCTCGTAATGTCCATTTTCCATTCCCACCCCAAGCAACAGCATTTTTTTTTTTTCTTTACATTTAGCTACACGTCCTTCGTTTGCCAAACTGAAAAACCTTGGTCTAGCACTACGCTGGCAGGAGAAGAAGTGAACTTCCTGATCAAGCCCACAGCACCACCAGTACACACGACTAAAATTTTACTACTTGGAACAATTTCACTGTTTCACGGGATGTTGCTGTGAGCCAAAAGCATATTTTGCCGCGGGACAGGATCACAACTTTGACAGTTTCCATTTCAGACATATTTTTGCTAAGCTGAATCAATAATATTTTTCTAGCACACCACGTCTAACTTGTGATTGCTGAAGAATTTCAGATCATTATGTGAAACCACAACCACGTATTCGCAGGCACCAGTTCTGCACCCTCACCCCAGAATCACCACAGACAAACGACCCGACGTGTCTTCTCAATATTTAAAGCCACAAGAGCTTCCTATATCGTTAGAATGAAAAAAAAAAAAATCCTTTAGAAGTTACATTGAATAGTCCTCCATAAACCTGAACATGTCACACGACCCAAGACCTCAAGCCACAAGCGAGTCAGAAACCACAAGCCAAAAAAAACCCAAAAACCCCAACCCCAAAAAAACACAGCTCAAATTCTGATCTCAGTCACCACGTTTTAGACCCATTACAACTTCACAGACACTGGATTACTGCAGATACATACTAATTTCAGAGCAATTGAGACAGAAATCCGAGAAACCCCCAAAGATTCGATGGTATTCGTTAAGCATCAATATCACCAACTCCCAGCTTCCTCCAAACAGGGAGTCACCCCTCGGTTATCAACCTGAGAGCAAAAGTTGAGAGATGATTCTGCTCCCTGCTGACGGGCGCTCACACCCCTGGTTATGCACCAGCTTTTCAGCTCGGCAATTTACAAAGAGCTGGAGAAGAGATTTGTTAAAAATCCTTTTTGAAACAGCACATCAGGTTTTGTCTGTTACCAATTAAGAAAGCCTCAATTAAACATATTGGGGGAAAAAAAAAAAAAAAAGGGTCTACAAAGGCCATAAACCGTTAAGGACAATAACCACAGGCGAGCCCCAGGAGCGCTCGCTCCCTGCCAGGAGGGGGATGATGGAAACCAGCCCCCGGCCCCAGGGACCCCCAGCAGGAGTGTGCAGGGCCCGAGACGGGCACCGACGCCTTCCTCCCCAACAGAGCAAGCCCCCGCGGCGTCCCTCTGCCCTCCAGCTCCCTTCCCTCCGAACCAGGCTGCCGCTCCAGCGAGTGCCTCCTTGAAAAAAGTTGCTGCCGCCCGACAAGCAGGCGGCTCCCTCAGCTCCCTCCTCTCACGGGTGTCCCCCACCCTCCCAC